AGCACGCAGAGTGTTCCTTTTCACCCCTGCCTCCTCTTCAACATGTTTGTGCGGGGCACCTGGGGGGCACGGTCGTTGGAGCATGTGTCTTTTGGTTCTGGCTCAGGTCCCTATCTCGGGGCTGTGAGTTTGAGCCCTTGTGTCGGGCTCTGCACTCAGCGTGGAATCTGCTTAAGGCTTTCTCTCCCTCTCCTTCTTCTTTCTCCCCTCAAATAAGTGCATCTTTTAAGAACCAAACCAAAAACCATTAGGTTTGTGAGATTTCCTGCCTTGTTGTCGATCGTACCTCATTGTCGTATAGTATTTGACAGTGTGGGTGTATTACACGCTATCTGTCCTTCTACCCATTAGCTTTTGGGGGCTGTCATCCTTTTACTGTAGAACTTATTAATTAGTCATGCACCTGTTTTTATTTTGTTTCAGAATTTTTTTGTTGTAAAATACATATAAGATTTACCATCTTGGGATGCCTGGAGGGCTCCGTCGGTTAAACGTCTGCCTTCAGCTCAGGTCATGATCGCAGGGTTCTGGGATCGAGCCCCGCATCGGGCTCCCTGCTCAGTGGGAAGCCTGCTTCTCCCTCTGCCTGCTGCTTCCCCTGCTTGTGCTTGCTCTCTCTCTCTGACAAATAAATATGTAATTTAAAAAAAAATAGCCGTCTTAACCATTTCTAAGTCGAAAGTTCAGTGGTCTTCCAAATACCCATGTTCCTGTGCAGCCCTCCCCACCCTCCGTCTCCGGGACTGTCTTCCTGCTGCACTACGGAAACTCTATGCCCATGACACAGCAACTCCCCGTTCCCTGCTCCCCCCAGCCCCTGGCAACCACCCTTCCCCTTTCTGTCTCTTTGGGTTTGACTACTCAGGGCACCTCCTGCAGGCGAAATCACACAGCATCTGTCTTTCTGTGACTGGCTCTGTTCGTTGACCATCACGTCCTCAGGTTTCCCCCATGTTGTCGCTGCTGTCAGAGTGTCCCTCCTTCCTTAAGTCCCAGCAACGCCGCACGGTGTGGACAGACCACACCGTGTTGATCATCTGTCTGCTGATGTTCAAGTTGTTTCCGACCTTTGAGTACTGGGAGCAGTGCTCCCAGGACCACGGTCATGCAGATCTCTTTCCAAGACCCGGCTTTCAATTCTTAGGGATGCAAGCATCCAGTTTTGGCCTCTTGCAAATAACAGGGCCTCAAGCTCGCTGGTATGCCTGTGTTTCGGTGAACACGGGCTGAGCGGAGCCGCTAGATCAGAGAGGGTGTGCAGGCTCAGCCCTGCCTGTTTGATTCTCTCAGAGCTCGCCAGCCTGCCCAGAGCTGCCTGGGAAAGTCGCTGACCATCACTTCAGTAGGCAGAGCAGCCTTGCTGGGCATTCTTCACGCCCTTCTGTGAGCATCGTCTGAACATCTCGGGATTTTTTTTTTGTCTTTTGTTTGTCCAGATGGTTTTCTCTCTGCTGCATCCCAACCTGCAAGGCGCGTCCTTCTCAAACAGTCTGTGGGTCCCTCCCTCCACCTCGCCGAAGCCTCTCTTTCTGAGGTTCCTCTCCTCCCCTGTGAACTTTGCACTTGCCCCTTCCTTTCTATCAGGCATCCCAAAATACGTTCGCTGCCTTTGGTGGAAATTCCCCTGACTGTTCTTCTAGGGTGCGGTAGACAACAGGGAGGGGGAGATGGGGCTTGATTTAATGTCTGAGTAGTTTATGCTCCCCTCCGTGGGGCACTCTGGCCACCTGCCAGGCACAGAGTCTGTTTCTCTGCCTCCTTTGCAGACCCAGCGGGAGGTGGCTATGTTGCTGGTACACAGCCTCCCCCAGCCGAGCCCCTTGGGCCTCCCAGCCCGTGTCCTACTGGATCTGGCCACCGAGAGCCACGGGCTGGGCTACAGACGAACCCTGTGGGTCCGAGTCGACGACAAACAGGTGTGGGGCTCTGCAGGTGGGGCCTCCAGGAGCTGGGGGTGGGGGGTTGTGGGGGTCCTGGGGACAGCCCAGCCCAAGGCCCAGGTCTCACAGTTGTCCCCGCGGGCAGGTGTCGGAGGAGCTGACGTTCACTCGGCGGCCAGAGCACGTCTCCCTGTCCTACACGCTCTGGCACAGCATCCCCGTGCTGCGGACGCCATGGCTGGTGGACAAGCTGGGCCTGCAGGTCAGCCTCGGCGAGCGCCGGTCATAATGGAAACTCATGCGTGCGTTTGTGCTTTCGTGCATTCACTCAACAAACGTTCTTGGAAGTAAGGTGGATACAAAGGGGAGGTGGAACAAGGTTCAGACTTCCTTCTGAGCCTCAATCTCCTCATCTCGATAGTAGGGATAGGGCTCCTCTCCCTAGCCTAGCCACATGCCCCTGGGTCCAAAGCCTCCCTGTGGACCGAGTGCGTGTCCTTGACCCCCTTTTTAGCCTTATCTACCTGCTCTCAGCCTGGGCATTCTGGGCCGGTATCTCTCTCTGCTGCACAGAAGCTCCCCGCTTTTTCCTTCTTTAGGCCCCACACCCGCAGGTCTGTATACATGTGTCTCTCCCCTTGAAGGCGGGTGGGCTCCTGGCTTGCCCAGCCCGGCCGCCTGCCCCTCCCCTTTCCGTATCTCAGTGGCACCTCCTCCCCACACCCCCAGCATCACCGCAAAACCCTCGGTGTCAGCCTTCATCCCTGTTTCACTCACACCCCGGACCCCGCCTTCAGCAGACGCAGATGGCGTGTCCTCCCAGATGTGCCCGGAGCCCGACCCCTTGTCCCCCACCTCCAGCTGTGTCATCTGCTCCAGGCCACCTCGGGTCACACCCAGGTTCCAGCCACCTAGCTGGGCTCCCGCCTTCATTGCTGCCCCCTTGGGTCTCCACCCAGAGCCCCTCCACGTCCATTCCAGTTCCTCAGACCGTAGCCTGGCCCCAAAAACCTCGTGCAAGGATCTGGTGCTGTGCCCTCTCTGAGCTCACCCGCCGGGGACTCCCCCCTTACTGACTGTCCTCTGGCTCCCTGTCCTCCGTACTCAGGCTTGCCAGATGTTTCCTCCCTTCGATGCCCACCGCCCGCTCCTGGCCTCCCCGGGTCTTTGCACCCATGTCCCTTCTCCGGGCTTCCCTGAAGACCCCTGCCCTGGCCCCTGTCTCCCCGACCCGAACCCTCTGTAAAGAAGATGGCTTTGCTTCTCGTCTGACACTCAGAACACACGTGGGTCCAGACGGGTGGGGACTCCCCCACCCACGACCCATTCGCGGGTGCCCCCTTCCCTGCCTGCGGATGTGTTCAGCCCGCCCTAAAGCCCCCGAGCCCCACGGTTGAGGGATTTTCACGGGCCTTCATATCGTGAGTGTGCCGGATCTTCCACTTGCCCCGCAGCCTCTCCTCCCCTCCCTGAGGACGGGGGCGGGGGCTAAAGGTTCCAGCTTCTCACCAGGGCTTGGTCTTTCTGGGGAACCCACTGAGAGTCCCCTCAGTAGAACAGAAGGCACTTGTCTCACCCACGAAATTCCAAGGGATTGAGGAGCTCCAGTAAGACGCTCCCCTCTCCCACTCACTGTGGAGTTTGCAAGGTGGGAGCTCTGGGTCAGGAACAGGGATCACAGACCAGATGTGGGCAGGAACCGGGGGCAAAGGCATAGATACCTACGCCTGTGTATTTCTTAGTATCTCACATGCTCCCCGATTGCTTTCTCTTTTCCATCCTCTTTCCGTCCGGCCCGCGATGCCTTCTTCCATGTCCTGGTCTGTCTCTCGCAGCCGGCCTCCAGGCTGCACGGCCCCGGCAATCCCGTGTTTGGTGCACGATGGCATCTCCAGGTGCAGGACAGGGCCCAGCACTTAGTAGGCGCTCAGCCAGCATCACCGAAGGGCGGGACAGAACTTCCTGCTTTGTAAAGCCGCTGATGCCACACAGCGAGGGGCTTTATGCCCGTGCTGGTCGCTGTTGCTCCAATGGGGGACAGAGGCCGCAAACTCAAAGCCTTTGGGGGCCAGGTAGAGAGCTGAAAATGGGTCGGGGGGCTGCTTGGAGACATAGAGAGCTCGTGCCTGTCGAAAACCTTCCAAAGTTATGTGTATTTTGCAAACACTTTTTATTGTAGTATAATATATAAAAGTATTACATTTTAAGTATTTTTTAAAAAATATTTTATTTATTTATTTGACAGAGAGAAATCACAAGTAGACAGAGAGGCAGGCAGAGAGAGAGAGAGGGAAGCAGGCTCCCTGCTGAGCAGAGAGCCCGACGCGGGGCTCGATCCCAGGACCCTGAGATCATGACCTGAGCCGAAGGCAGCGGCTTAACCCACTGAGCCACCCAGGCGCCCCTACATTTTAAGTATTTAAAAAAAAATTTTTTTATTTAATGGTCCGAGAGAACACAAGCAGGAGGAGTAGCAGGCAGAGGGAGAAGCAGGGTCCCTGCTGAGCAAGGAGCCCAGCGTGGGACTCGATCCTAGGACCCTGGGATCATGACCTGAGCTGAAGGCAGATGCCTAACCTTCTGAGCCACTCAGCCATCCCCCATTTTACGTATTTTCAAGCATTTTCAAGGGCATCAGGCCCATTCATAGTAGTGTGCCTCGGTGCTCTCATTCCACAACTTTTTTTTTTTTTTTTTCCATTCATTCCAGAACTTCTTAACTACCCCACATGGAAACCCCGTAGCTGCTGGCAGCCGTCCCTGGGCCAGCACGCCCCACCCAGCAACACAGCGCCTGTCCCCTTGCTCTTTCCCTTGCAACTCCCGCAAGGTGGTGGGTCTCAGCGCCCCCCCCCACACACACAGTGCTGTGGGTCTGCGGGGGCCGGAGTGAGCTGGGCCAGGCTGGCTGTCTCTGCCCCCGGCGAGCCACCCTCTCCGGCGTATCATTCCAGGCCTCTGTGGACGCCCCCAGCAGCGGCTCCAGCTTTCAGCATTCCGGACGCGTCGCAGCGGGGCCCACGTCCGTGAACTACTCCGTGAGTGGCGGTCACCATGCGGGACACCTGCAGCTCTCTGGCTGGAGCGAGCACAACAGCGTGACCCTGTTGCAGGCCGGGCTCCCAGGCCAGGCCCGTCTGAGCGCCAAGCTGCAGACACACGGTAAGGCACCCAGGGCCCCGCCCCAGGACCGGAGGGCTGATTCCCCCCACCCTGGGGCCTGCTCTCCGCTCTCAGAACCAAAGGACATTCTTGCCCTTGAAGCCCTGGTTCCCCGGTGGGGAGACTGTATTCCTTTCCTAGGCTTGCAAAGATGTGTCCTCTGTAGCAGTCCTGGAGCCCAGGTGTCCGCAGGGCCGTGCTTCTGCCGAAGGCTCGATGGGGGGATCCTTTCTGGCATCTTCTAGCTGGAGGCCCCAGCCGATCCTTGGCTCGTGGCCGCCTCCCTCTGATCTCTGCCTCTGTGCCTGGGCCTCTTCTCTTCTTCTAAGGACCCCGGTCACTGGCTGAGGGCCCTCCCTACTTCAGCAAGACCGCGTCTCGACCTGATCCGCTCTGCAGGGCCCCCATTTCCAGATAAGGCCACATTTCATTGGTACTGATGCTCACGGCTTCAACATGATTTTTAGGGATAAGCAGTTTAACCTCTAATGGAGGGGAGAAGTAGTAAGAGCCAGTGTTGATGGGGTGCTTACCATATACCAGGCAAGCACTCTGGACACAGAAGCTCAGTGAGTCTGCTCAGCCATCCATTCAGGCCAAGGGAAGCTCGAAGCCCGTAGTGGGGCCTCTGAGCCCTCGGGATCCACACCCTCCATTCTCTCACCCCGTCTTCTGGCCCCTGCTCATTTCACTCCTTGCTAGTCTTCAAACACATTGGGCTGGCTCCTGCCTCAGGACCTTTGCACAGGCAGTTCCTCTGTCTGGGAGGCTCTTCCCCTGCACGTCTGCTTGTCTCAATCCCTCCCTGCTTTCAGATAGTTTTCAAGTGTCATCTCTTCAGTGAGGCTTTCCCCACCCAGCTTATTTACTGGTAACCCCACCTCCTGCGAGCTCACCCGGTCCCTGTTCCTGGCTTGGTCGCTCTAACATCCTATTGACTGACTGACTCAGGACCTTCATTTCTCATTGCCTGTCTTTTGCCCACCCCACCCTAGAATGCACTCTCCACAAGGACAGGGATGAGTTTTGCCTGTTTTAGAGAGTAGGGCCTAGTAGTTATTCAGTTAATCTGTTGAGTGAATTCGTGAATGTATGAGGTAGGGGTTAGTAACTGTTCCCATTCTGCAGGGGAGGAAAGGAAGCTCAGAGTGGTTGATCACTTGCTCCAGGTCACACAGCCTTGGAACGATGAGATCAAGACCTGAATCCAGGCAGCGTGGCTGCAGGCCCCCTGCTGGCCCCCTGTGTAGAATGCAGAGATCAGGACCCCTCGGGGGCTCCCCTGTCACTTGGGTCATCTTCTCCTGGCCTCAAACTTTTCCGTCCTTGGCTTTCAGCCCCCTGTGAGGTGACTGGTCCTTGGAGCCAACAGGGGCATTGACCTCACAGACTGCTCCGAGGAAGGGCTTATTGGGGATGTGGTGTGTCAATCATGGGACAGTCATTCCAGGGTGACCCAGTTCCTCGCCCCTGAGAGGCCTGCCGCGGTCACCCGCAGCCAGAGAGAGGTCTCAGCTGCACACGGCGCTCATGTTCGGCTGTCCCAGCCCCTTGGTGGGGGGCATTTTCTGCTTGGCCTTAACATTCTTGCTGTCTCTGACCATCTGAAACTTCCCCGGGCTTGGAGACTGGGGCTCCTTCAATGTGGGTCCCCGCCTCCTTGGGCCCCACGCACAGTGGGTGCTTGGGGTTGAACACCACCTGGGAAGGAAGGAAGAGAACCCTTCCTGGGACCCGTGTGTCTGACGGGCAGGTGTTCTCAGGGGTGTTCTCTCTCTTCATCTTAGCAGGGTCACTCAAGGTGGGCTGGCTGTGCCCACTTTATTGATGAGGAAATCGAGGCTTAGAGCGCTACCTGCCCCGATGGGCCCAGATGGCAGGTGATGGCTCTGGGTCAGGTGTCACGGGCCGTAGCTATGAGCTGCACCAACCCCAACCCCGCCATCCCCGGTGACGTAGGCTAGGGTTCACCTCTGTACCCTGGAGAACTGCTTCCTACTGTAGCAGGGGGGTTCAAGTCCAAAAATAAGAAGGACGAAGCTCCTGGAATTGCCTCTCCTGGAGGGTCACATGGAGGCCACATGGAGGTGTGGTCGGGCTGGGAGGCAGGACCCTGGAGGTTCCCCACGTGGGTGGCATGGGTGGGGACCCTCCATCCTGGGCCTGGTGGGCTCCAGGTCAGTATCATTTGATATCCTTTGGATGTTTGATAAACCCGGAGATAAGTATTTATTTGTCTGTTTCCCCACTGCCTGCGATGTGTCCGGAGCTGTGCCAAGTGCTGGGAACAGAGCAGGGAACAGACCGAAGGTCCTGCCCTCACGGGGCTGACCTACCCCAGGGAGGGAGAAGGAAGGGTCAGGGGGTACTTCAGGTGGGCTCTCAGAGGTGTCCTCTCACCAGCAATCCTGGGGAGAGGAGCCGGCCCGGCCACGCTCATCGAGACGGATACCACCTGGCAGATGAAGTCGCAGAGGCTCTTGAGAAGCGAAAGCCTTGTCTGGCATCGGTCCCACACGCACAGGGAGGTGAACCGAGCCCCCAGCAGCCTGTGCCCTCCTCTGCCCCTAGAGACCCAGACCCGGGCCAGCGTGGCCCTCCACGGAGGGGATGGTGGTGTCAGCATGGACGTGGCAGCCCTGGTGTCCTGGCTGGCGAATGGCTCCCTGGAGCTGCTGGTGAACGCCAGCCACACGGCCCCTGCTCTCCGGAGGCTGGGCCTGCCCTCGACCACCCAGGTGAGGAGTGGGTGCACCCCCCGCCCCCGCCAGGCTGGGCTCCCTGCTAATTCCGTCCACTCTGTCCTGTTCCCCAGTGTGCAGGGGACCGACTACGGGCTCGCCCAACAGATGTCCTGCGCTGTGTCTCTCGAGCACTTTACAATTTGTAGATGCTGGAAGCCCCCGTTCCAGGTCCCCGCCCTGTGTGCTTTCTGCCTTTCTACTCTTGCCCTCGAGCCAAAGCCCAGCTTTTGCTGTTGGAGCCCCTGCTCCATGCTCAGTGCCGTCCTGGGGGTTTTCCATGGCCTGATTCCTTTCCTCCTCCTAATGCCCCACGAGGGGCAGGTGGCATAGTTCTTAAGAACCCCAGCTCTGGACTTCAGATCCCAGCTGACTCACACAGCGTGCTGTGTGACCACAGGCAAATTCCTTAGCCTCTCTGTGCCCTCAGTCTGTTCCTGAAATGGGGATGATAGCTGTACCGACAACATGGGGTTTGGGAGGATGGAGACAGTGGTGGTATCTGGTCAAACAGATGCTGTAGAAGCATTTGCTGCTGTGACGACAGTCCCCGTCATCCCCATCCACGGGACACGCGTGTGTTTGTCACCTACTCACGGTCACGTAGCAAGGGGGCAGCAAAAGGGACTCAGGCTGGCACTTAGGCCCTTTCCCACGATGCCCTCCCACCTCTAGAGGGGGAATCTGCTGTGGTCTCCTGAATGGGGCCAGGCCCTGGTCACTGTCACTTGGCTAAAGGTCACCTGTCTGGGCTGGGCTCTCTGGCTGCCCATTCCGGAAGCTTCATTCACAACCTCTTGTTTCCGGTGACCAGCACTGCCCTGCCCCCACTACACTCTGCCGTGTGGAGAGCCCCGGGTACCCCTCACACAGTGGGTCCTTGTCCTTGGTCCCTGTACCCCACAACTGAGCAGACCCAGTTTCCGCTCTCCCTCATCTCCTCTAAACCCCCTCTCCTTGGCTTCAGGCCAGTGATGGGGAGATGTGTGGGGCTCATTCTTTGCCGATGTCTGGGGTGCGGGTCTGGTGGGGTGCAGTGCCGGCTGCCGGGAGGGAGCTGCAGAGTGGGGCCAAGGCGGGTCCTCGGGCCCGCTGCACTCCTCACACCTCACGCCTGCCCCTTCCACAGCTCGTGTTCCAGAAGCTCTGGGCAGAGGAACAGATGCTGTCTTCCCTACGGCTGACCTGCGATTCTCAAGCCAGCCTGGTCCTCGACGTGCGTGGCCAGAGCCAGGAGTTCCGGTGAGGGGTTCTCTGCAGCTCTGGGGGTCCCCTCTCTCCTCCCACCAGAGGAGGGGGTGCGGGGGAGACATCAGTGGAGCCCCTGCTGTGTGCTCACCTCCAACCCCCAGCACCTCCTTGACCCCTCCCCGCAGCCCCACTGCCCAGATGTGGAAAGGAGAAGCACAGAGAAGCAAAGTAACTCACCCGAGGTCACACAGCTAGTAAAATAACCTTGACGTTCGGGGGTATGACATGGACGAGGACTTGGTCTCACAAGTGAAATGCATGCTAGGCCTCAAATACAAATGAATAATTATTATAGCTCTTCAGTGTGGGCACCTCCTGGCTGCCTGGCCCAGAGCTCAGCGGCCTCGCACGTGTATGCGTCCGGGGCGAGGGCTGCCTGGCTCCAGCACCCACACGGGGTCTAGACCAGTGGTTCTCACCTGGGGTGGGTTTGCCCACCCGGGGTCACTTGGCGACGTCTGGGGAAATTTCCAGTGGCTTCTGGTGGGCAGAGGCCAGAGGAGGCAGTGCTAACCCTCACCAAGGGCACAGGTTGGCCCGCGGCCATGGGCCATCTGGCCCAAGATAGCAGCGCTGCTGTGGAAGAAGGACCAGAAGGGGGCGGCGCCCCACAGCAGCAGTGGGGAGCCCCGAGCACCCCGGCCTGAAGGGCCATGGTGAGCACAGGGCTGCCAGGAGTGAGTGCAGTTAAAATCCTGCTGTCCAGACCCTGCGGAGACCTCCCCTGCCCAAACCTGACCGGAGACACTCAGCCCGGTACCCCTGCAGCCCCTTTTGCTGAAGGGGAAACTGAGGCCCAGAGGTGCTCTATCCCACATGCCAGAACCAGGCACGGGCCAGGTGGGGGTCGAAACGTGGGTCACCTGGCACCAGGCTGTGGCCCTAACCACGGCCCTGCTCGGCCCTCAGGCCCGGGGCACGTGAACGGCCCTGCCTGGGCTCTAGGGGTGTCCGTCGATCTCCTGCCTTCTGCGGGTGGGGGAGGCTGGTCTGAATCCTGACCCAGCCCTGGGCGCCCGCAGGTCAGCCTCAGACACTCTCTTTGTCTCCTTCCAGGAAAGAGCTGCAGCTGGCCGGCGGGCACAGCCTCCCCGCCCTCCTGGGCCGCTGCCCCCGCAGAGCCTCAGCCTCGGCCAAGGTAACTGTGCCCAGCCGCCCCTGAGCCCTAACTGGTTCCAGACGCCCTGCCCATGGTGGGCGGGGGCCATGCCGGCCGGGCCCCGCCAGGGAGGGCTTACACATCCACATCTGTGTGCACAGGCCTTCTGCAGGCCCCAGGGGGCTGCCCCCTGAAACCCCTGGCTCCAGCTTTCTCAAACATCCCCAGGCTTACATTCCTGGGCCAGGCCCGGAGCCCCCAGCTGGGCTCACAAGACCGTGGGGAGTAGGGGAGGCCTGCCTGCCCACGCCATGCCTGGAGCCTGGCGCCTCCTCACCAGACCTGGCGGGCTGCCTTTGAGCAGAGCCCCACCGCCTCCCGGGTGCCCCAGCTTCTTCTGACGGCCCAGGCTCCCCGCACATCTTCCCGCCCTTGTCCGCAAATCCTTTCCCCACCTGGAACCCCCAGGACAGCCCGCGGTCATGCATCTGGCTTGCAGGTAGCATTTGGGGGCCCTGGGGTGGAGGTGGGGGGGGTTGACAAGAGGCCCAGGCTGGTGGCCCCCCCGCACTCTGTTGCCATGACCTGTTTGCCTATCTGCCCCTCTTCCCCAAATCAGGAATGCCCAGCACCTGGCCCAGGGCCCAGCACATAGTAGGTGCTCATGAAAGATGTTGGCTAATGAGTGAGTGACTGGTTGTTACATTTGCCCAGCTCCTTGCTTGGTTAGCCCCCCAGCCACCCAGTTTTGTTAACTGGTCTCCCTGCCCAGGCCGGCTGCCTTTGTTCCCAGAGCACCTACTGTGTGCCTGGCCCTGCCCTAGCACGTTCCCACATGGTTTTAGTGTTTCCCAAGCGTCCCTGCCAACTGCATGTCCAGGGGCCTCTTTCTTTCCCCCCGGTCTTTATTTTGAAGAGTTTTCAACATATAGAAAAGTTATTTTAGGACCGAGAACATTCCCTAGTTGTTAATAACCTGCCACAACTTTGTTTGTACTTATGTGTCACATATCTTCTTTCTCTAGTCATACACATGCCCACATACATTTTATCATTAAGGGACGATATGGACATGTTTCTGGACACATACCTCTTTACTCCTACATGCTTGGCTGAGTGGTTCCAATGACAAGGCAATTTCCTTACATAACACAGCATAATTAGAAAATTCAGGAAGTTTAACATGATGTAGTCATGCTGTTATTTAATATACGGTCCCTAATAACCTTTCCCAGTTGCCCCAATAATGTTCTTTCACGCTGAATTTTTCGTTTGTGTGTTTTCAGTGTGTTTTAAACCCAAGAGACATTTCAGGATCACCCAGAGTATTTAGCTGCCCTGTTTCTTGAGGGAGTTAATCTAGAACAGAGGTCTGCAAACTTGGACTATAAGTAGATGTTTTATCCTTTAAACCCAGTACGATCTCTGTTGTAACTGCTCAGTGCTGCCACCGTCACAGAAAAGCAGCCATAGACAGGATGTAACTAAACGGCCGTGGCTGTGTTACAATAAAACTTTATTTACAAAACCATGTGGTGGGCCGAATGTGGCCTAAGGCAGACCCCTGATCCAGATATTCTTCTCCCAGCCCGTACCTAGTTTTCCCCCATTGTTCCGTTATTAAATGTTTTAGACCCTGGAAAATTAAAGCAGTTTTATAGTGAATGTCCACATACCCACTGCCTCCATTTTCTCACCCCTGTTCCACTCCACTTGCTTTGTCAGCGCTTTATCCTGAATTTTTGACACATTTCAAAGTAAGTTGCGGGTATCGATAGACTTTGCCCCTAAGCATTTCATTGTCTTTAACCACCTTTTATTTTATTTTTTTTAAGATTTTATTTATTTATTTGACAGGAGGCAGAGAGGCAGGCAGAGAGAGAGAAGAGAGGAAGCAGGCTCCCCGCTGAGCAGAGAGCCTGATGCGGGGCTTGATCCCAGGACCCTGAGATCATGACCTGAGCTGAAGGCAGAGGCTTTAACCCACTGAGTCACTGAGGCGCCCCTTTAACCACCTTTTTAAAAAGATTTGAGAGAGAGACAGAGACAGCAAGACTGTGAGACTGTGTGTGTGTGTGTGTGTGTGTGTGTGTGTGTGTGTACACACACGCACGCACGCCCACGCAGAGAGGAGGGGCAGAGGGAGAGGGAGGATCTCAAGCTGGGTTCATGCTGAGCACAGAGCCTGGTAAGGGGCTCGATCTTAGAACCCCGAGATCATGACCGGAGCCGAAATCAAGAGTGGGACGCTTAAGGGCGCCGCCACCCAGCACCCCAGTCCTTAACCACCTTTAAGAAGTCACACGTTGACAATTTTGAAATGTCCAGGCACTTATTTTGCAGAAATCCTCCATGTGGATTTGTCAGACTCTTTGTTCAAGATTCAGGGTGACCGAATTCAGCTTTGACTGAGGTCAGACCTCTCTGCGGGGCTGTTTAAGAATGTCTCCCCAGCCTGTTCGCGGAGGTTCTGTCTCTCCCAGCTGTCGGTAGGGGACAGAGTCTCTGTGTGTAGCTGGCGCCCTACCTGATTCTGTCACGGAGCCAGTCTGGAAGAGAGCACACTGGTACAATTTTCACATCGACACATTAACAAAGTGTCACCATCCCAGTGTATCAGGTTAGAAAGCAGAGACTCCCGTGGTGAAGGACCGAGGCAGAGGTGACCTACCCCCTGTGACGGAGCACCGGAGGTGGCATCTGTTGGATGGCCCAGCCCGTGCCTCGTTCCTTGCGCTAGACTGCCCCCTGCTGTCCACTGTGGTAGTGCAACTGGAATTCTTGCCTGATGGCCCCAGGCCCGTAGCTGTCTTCCAAGCAGTGGGACAGCAGCAGGAAGGACGGGGAGGTGGCTCTCGCTGGCCTAAACCGAGGCTCCGGACCCTCCTTTCACCAGATTTCACCAGGAAGCCGTGGGTGTCTGGGGCCACAGCCTCCAGCCTGGAGCCAGGATCTGTAGGAATATGCGATCAGAGACCAAGGAGAAAATATCTCACCTGCTTTTCTTCTGGCCCAGCTACAGTACTTGGAGCGTGAGGCCGAGAGCACGATTTTCTTCGAGGGGGAGGACCATCATTTCCATGTGGGCACCAGGCTGGTGACGACAAAGGCCAGTGTCACCAACACCATCAGGCTGGAGCAGACCTTCCCCCAGGTGCATGGAGGGCGGCCAGGGCGGGCTGTGGGGGAAAGGGGGCTCCGTGGGCAGCTCCGGGAGAAGAGAGGGATTTGTAGGGGCTCTGGAGTGGGGGAAACGTGCTGGAATGGGTTCTCAGCTGCTCTCATTGTGCATTCCTTCCTCCCTCCCATGTTACTTGTTGAACCCCTGGTAGGGCCCAGGGCAGGAACCACACAGAGTATTGCCAGGGACAGGACTGGTGGGTCCTTCTTCTCACCAACTGCACAGTCTGCTGGGGAGGAAATCACACAAATAAATAAGAAAACAAATAAATAAAAAAAATGTATCCAGATGGATACATTCTAGAGAGAAAAGAAAATGGGGTGATTAAGAGTGGGTGTGTGGCCAGGCAGCTCTTCAGGTGACCAGGAAGGCCTCACAAAGAAGGTGACATCTGAGCTAGTCCCAGATGACAAGCAAGTGGCAGCCATTTGAAGATCTGGTGGAAGGGCATTCCAGGCTGAGGGAACAACACATACAAAGGGCCTGGGGCAGGAACGAGTAGGCTTGTTTGAGGCATGGCCACTGGCCTGGAGCAGGGTGGGGCAGTAGGAGATCGTGGGGTCCGATCTTAGGGCATGACAAGCCACAGGGAGGAGTTTGGATTTAGTTTTCTGAAATTGGAAGCTTTTTTGGGGACACAGTCCAAATGAAGATTTCAGATCCCTCCAGCGGCTGTATGGGGAGCGACCTACAGGGGGCAGCAGAGACAGCAGTGAGGAAGCCAGGTAGGGCAGTAAGACCTTCAAGAGTAAACTACCCTCTCCTCCTGGCAAGTCTCCCTGCAGGGCCCCTGACCGCCCCCTCTAAATGGGGCACCCATCTAACGGGGAGAGTCCCCTTCTCTGAGCCTTTGCCCAGACCCATCCTCCTGCCTAGAATGCCCTTCCTTGCATTGTCCTCCAACTTCTTTCTCTGTGTTCCTTTGCCTGTTGAGTATCTTTCATGCCACCCTTGTCATTTGGGCCCGTCATTTTCTGTCTCTGTGATGTCTCCCCATCCGCCAGGAGCCCCTGAAGGGCCAGGACCCGTCTAGGTTATTTGTACCCCCATGCTCAGCCCTGGATCCGGATCCTAATACATGCTCTAGAAACCCTAGTCCCAGCCACAGCAGCTCCCACGCGGCACTGCCCATGGGTCGGCCCTGGGCGGACACACCCTCGCATCATCTCAGAGGTTAGCGCTGTCCGTCTCATCCGCTCTTATAGACGGGGAAACTGAGCTCAGAGAAGTTAGGAAACCGGCCCAAGGCCACACAGCTTGGAAGTGGATGGAGCTGAGAGGTGGTGATGTGTTCAGAGGGCGACACAGTCTCCCTGTGTCCCGCTCCCCGTGCCCCACACCCCTCCCTCCCATTGTCTGCCCATCCCTGGGGAGCCTTTGGCTTTATGATGTCCCAGTAAACTGTTCATGCCCCACAGATGTTCCCTGTCTTTCCTACTCTGAAGGTACCTCTTCTTTCCTACCCGAAGCAGGAGCGTGGGCCGAGCTCCCTGGTGACCCAGAGCTGTCTTTCTCTTCCAGCTCAGAGCCGTTCCCAGGCAGCTGGTCCTGCAGACCTTGTACAAGACAGCCCGCGGGACCCACATCCTGCACCAGACAGTTCTGTGGGATGATCAGGAGGCGGTGCTCAACGGGAGCCTCTTGGGGCCCTTCCCCAGGCCTGTTGGGAACCTCAGCGTCCAGGGTGAGTGTCTGCGGGGTCACCAGTAGGGGGCCCTGTTCGCTCAGCGAACCGTTTTTGAACAACTGCTTATCCCAGGTGCCGTCCCAGGATCCATCTGGAAGTAAGATGGCCCCAGGTCCCTGCCGACAGGGGCAGAGGTGGTGAGCAGGGGTGTGAACATGAAGGAAATCGCATCAGAGTGTTTCTGAGAGTGAGAAGGGTTGAATTGGGTGCAGGGCTCCTTCAGGTGGGGTAGGGGGGGAAGGTGTGTTTGAGGAGGTAACGTCCTTGTGGAGCCCTGAATGATGAGGAAGAACTGGCCGTGGCAGGGACCTGAGGAGGGGCGTCTCAGGCAAAAGGGAAAGCAGGTGCAAAGTCCCTGAGGTGGGAACAGAGTGGGTGCTGGAGCCACAGCAGCAAGGCCGGTGTGGCCGGAGTGCATTGAAGTGGAGGGGGGAGGAGAGGAGACCAGCGGGAGGGCTGAGGGACCCAGGTCACACAGGGTCCCGGCCCCCCAGCCCAGAGTTAGGGCTACCCTGAGTGTAAGAAGACAGGAAGTGTGGTAGATGGGGCCCTGAGCAGCCCCAGGGGGTTTCAGAGCGGAGGCCGACGGTCAGCAGGGGAGGCGAGTACTGTCCCCCCAGCAGCCCTATGGGTGCCACCTGTGTCCCCCAAGGGCTTGGAAGGGGCCGTGCTGTCACACGGACTGTGAGTTTCTGTGAGACGAGCCCCCACCACACAGAGCAAAGCCTGCCCTGCCGTCTGCCAAGTGGGAAACACAGTGCAGACCCGCCCCCGGGGGCACGGCTTGCTGGGTGGTCAGACGGCATCCCCCCAGGGTAACGGCTGCTGCCACCTGTGTTCCACACAAGGCAGAGGAAACGCGTGACTCCTCCGCCCACCAGGACAGCATGCGTGTGCATGTGTGTATACAGGCGTGCATGCACGGGGTTTGTGGGGGTGCCGAGCAGCCCGAGGACCCTGCTCTGTGGTTACAGAGCATGGGAGCTGGAGGGGTCAGGGAGTGGAAGGACTGAGGGTTACGGCGCTGAGTGTGGGGCCCACAAATGTGGTCACTGTTCCCTGGACCAGTGATGGCTCCTCAAGACGCAGCTGTGTCAGCGTCTCTGGGCGCAGTTCCCAGGAGCCGGCCTGGGGACAGGTGGCACCCCTTCCAGAGAGTTGAGAGGTCCCCGAGGTGGCCTCTATCTCCCGCGGCATCTCTGCTGGCCTCCTGCCCACGGGTCTGGGAAGACCGGACTCACTGGTGGCCTCACAAGCTGGGGTCACCTGAGGCAGGAGGTCAGGGCAGCTGGCTTCCGCCGAGGGGACAAGGGAGGGAAACCTAGAGGCACGGAGACTGTCCGCCGTGAGGCCTCAGCTATGGGGGCACCACCTGTGTCACACTCTGGACAGAAGGAGAGCGGAGGACAGCTGAGTGTGGCCCCAGTGGGACACCGGGGACCCGCGAGCATGAGGGAGGTCAGATGGTACAGGACATTGGCTGGCAGCCGCACCAGGCAGGTTTTGCTGGGTGACAAAGATTTGGCGCTCTCCTGGGGACAGCTCGGGGAGTGCATGGAGTGGTGTGGCCTAGTGAGGGCTGACCCCCTGAATTTTGAGCAGATGACCCAAGCACGAGGGGGCCCCCATGGCCACCTGCCTGAGTTGGTGGCTGTGTCCGCTGAGATGCCCCTGAGCCCACGTGCTCCCCTCACGTGCCTGCCTCTCCCTGTGTCCCCCTCCCAGCAGAGCTCACACACCCACTGCCTCTGTCCCTGTCCCCACCGTGGCGTGGCAGCCTCCGTCTGTCCTGCGAGCACTCACGACACAGACACCGGGACGACCTGGTCGTGGGCTGGGATGGCAAGGACCAGGTAGGTGTCAGGGCCGGAAGGAGACCCCAGGAACTCCACCGAGCCTGGAGCCTGAGGGGGACACTTGGGGCTCAGGCCTGCCTGGCGGGACCCAGTCCCCGGGAGATGGCAGGAAAGGCCCTGGGTAGGGGGTGGAATCGGGTTCCAGCAATGCGTGAACCACAAGAATGCCACTGGCTGACACCTGCTAGGGGCTCTTCAGTCCCCCTTTCACGTGATGGAATTAGAGCCCAGAGAGGTACAGCCATTTGCCGGGAGTCACAGAGCTAGTGGAAAGCGGGGTTGGCATTCTTAGAAAAGCCTCCAGTCCCCTCAGTCATACACTGTCCCGTCCACTCCGTTCTAAGCCTCGACTTTCTCCTCTGCAGAAATGGGCTGCCTCTCCCAAGGGCCCCGTCAGTGCTGGGCTGTGTGCTCGGGGCCCACTGCCCCCACGCCCTGGCCCTGGGAGACTGTCTGTGCAGGGTTGGGGGGTGGGGAGGGAGTGGCCCCCCTGGGCAAGGCCTCCAGCTCAGCCTGTCCCCCCACCCCAGGTGCTGGTCTCGTCCTCTCTGCAGCTGGGGAAGGGCAAGCTGGCCGGCCGCCTGGCCCTGGCTCACCCCTTCAGCCTCTCCTTGTGGCGCATCGAGGCCAGCGGCCTCGCTGAGGGCAGGGGTGGCCGGCGGAGCGCAGAGGTGAGTGCGGAGCGTCCAATGGGCCCCTGGTGGGGGACTCTGGGGGGTGGGGAGCTGCATGGCTGAGCCCCCAGCCCACCACCTGGGTACCGCAGGGGCAGAAGGTTGTGCTTGTGTCCCGTTGGGAAGGACTCTTCCAGAGTCAGACTCCTCAAGCTTGCAGCCCGAAGCGTCTGTCATTGGTTCATTCCTTTACTGATACCTTATTAAGCACCTGCTGCATGCCAGGCAGGGCTGGGAGCACACAGTCTTGCATTTAAAGAGCCCACATGTCAGCGGGGCAAGAGCTTACACGCATGATGACCTCATTGGACACGCATATGTACATACATACAGTGACTCCTCATTTATATCCTTGTCAGTTGAGTCGGGAGCCGCAGGGGGTCCCCGCAGGGCAGCTGGGCTCCTTGACCAGCCGGGTGGCCTCTGGCCACTCATGGACCCTCTCTGAGCCTTGGTGTTCTCAGCTGTGAAATGGAAGACAGTTGGTCAGGGTGGGTCAAAAGTAGATCCTCTGGGCCAGGCCAGAGACCCTGTCTAAAATTCAAGCCAGTGAATGAAGAAAAAATGAAGAGCTGTGATAAGCCCCGTGAAGAAAGTGGTGAGGAGGCAGAGACAGACACTCATCCGATGGGGTGGTCAGGGAGGGCCTCCTGGGGGAGGCAGCTTGACAGTTGAGGGCCTCCAGATGTGAGGGATCCACCTTCTGGCAAGCAAGGGGAATAGCATTCCAAGGGGGGAATGGAACAGCGAGTGCAAAGGCTCCGAGGTAGGAATAGGCTGGCGAGCTTCAGGAAGAGCCAGGGACAGTTAGGCTGGGACAGAGTTAAGTGGCAGGGCAGGCGCTGGGAACAAGGAGGTCAGCTGAGGGCCCCTGCCTTAGTCGGCTTGGGCTGCTATCACAAACCACTCTGGGTGTGTGGCTGGGTGGTTTTGGTTGCTTTAAACAGGAACAGGCATTTCTCCCACTTCTAGAAGCCCGAGATGAGGTTGGCAGCCTGGTCAGGTTCTGGTGAGCGCTCTCTGGCTGGCTCACGTCTTCTCCTGCGTCCTCACGCACCAGGGGGAGAGCTCTCTGGGGTCTCTGCTCGGAGGAGCCCTAATCCCACATGGAGGCCACCCTATGACCTCATCAACACCGGCTCCCCTCCCACCTGCCCTGCGTCCTAATACCGCCCCTCTGGGGGTGAGGGCTTCAGCAGAAGAGCAGGGGGGCGGGGCCCACTGTTCAGTCCGGAGCAGCCCAGGGGCCATGAGTGAGGGGCGCGGAGGTCCTTCTGGCTCTGAGACAGCCAGGCTAGGTACTGGCAATGAGGCATCTTCGGTCTAGACTGGGCTTGGCTCTGACGCCTGCAGATAAGGGCAGGAGGGAGGCCAGTGTCTCTAGCTCCTGCCTCCGTCCCCTACAGTGGCGGGCTCCACCCTCCCCACTCTGCGCGCTTGCACCAGCCTTTCCCCCCCACTCCCTTCTCCTCCATCCCTAGCACACACCCAGATGGAGAGCATCAGCCTCTCCTCCGCCTCTCCCCTCCACCACCCTCCGTCTCTGTGCAGGTCCAGCTGGCCTGGGACAGAGGACAGCCCGTGACCTTGCACCTTGCTTGGACCAACAGGTCCTCAGAGTTCAGTACCATCTGGGATGGCTGCCTGGCTGCCTCTCCGGGGCAGGTATGCACTGGCTGGACTGCCAAGCCTCGCACGGGGCCCTCCCTAACTCGGAGTCTCTGTGTGGACTCCCCCAAGTCCCACACTCCATCCTCTTGTCAGCTCCAGGAAATTTGGGGTCTGAGTGCCCTCAGGGCCTGTGGAGCCTTAACACAGACCCCAGCCGTGTTCAGCGAGCAGCTCGATCTGTCCTGGGACCGACGCCGGGTGCAGCAGAACCTGACGTATGAGGTGAGGCCTAGAAAGCCGGGTCCCAGGGAGGTCCCCCGGGGGGGGGGGGGGGGGCGGGGACTTGCTGTAGAAAGTGCCTGGCTCTGAGGCCATGGGGTCCTGTGCCAGTGCTAGCCGGGCTGCAGGACCGTGAGCATTTCATTTCTCCATTGTGAGTCCTGGTGCGCTCATCTGTAAAATGGGTACAAAAATCCCTCCCTGACTGGCGTGTAGGGACAGCTCTGGGAGATGAGGGAAGCAAGGCGTCCTGCCTGAGGTGAGCACTCAGAGCAGAAAAAGGAAGGGGCTGGTGACACCAGGGAGCTTTTGGGGGCATGAGTTCAGGTTCCTGGAGGTGTCAGGGTCAAGGTCTCCCCAGTATCACTGCCTACGGGGGACTGCTGCTGGGGCCGAGCACTGTTCTGTAGAGCCTGGGACAGGGACTGAGCCGAGGAGAAATGTGGGCAGCTGGCCCTGAAAGTCAGCCCTGTTCCTGCTGGGGTCTTGCACCATGGGTTCTGGGACCCCTTAGGCTAGGCCCCCGGTGCTCCCAGCAAACACCTGCCCAGAGTGCAAGGGGCTGTTGTGGCCTCACAGTGCGCTCGCATTGCAGAGGCACTGGCCGTCCCAGCCAGACCGGCTCCACGGACAGGCCGTGCTGGAGCACGTCTTCACCTTCGCCGGCCCCTGCGCCACACACAGCCTCCAGGGACAGGCGGAGACCGATTATGCCCACTGGCTGCGCCAGTCCCTGCACCTGGGGCTCTGCGACCTGCCCAGGGTGAGTCTGGCCGGGGAAGCCGACCGGGACCGTGCAGGGAGGAGGAGGGGAGAGGACAACATCCGCAGAGCGCAGGGGTGTGAGGGAGGGAGCTGGGTGCCCACGTGCCTGCTCTGCCGTCTGCTGGGGGGGGCGACCCCGGGCAGGGCAGATCGGCCCTCTGTGTCCCATCTGAGCGGCAGAAGAGGCAGTGGGCTTTGGCAAGGAGCGGGAGGGTGAGATACCAGAGATGGGACACAGGACTAGAGCTTTACACATAAATGAAAGGCACTCAGCCTCGTCGTGGTTGGAGGTGAGGGGTTGGGACTCCTTCCCCCAACGGTCTTCCTGGGTTCGTTAGCTGGGTCTTTGGTCCCTCCTCCTACCTACCCACCCTTCCATCTGTCCATCCATCTCTCCCCATCCTCCTGTCTGTCCGTCTATCCATCCACCTGTCTACTCACCCACCCTGTCATCCGTCCGTCCATCCATCGACCTATTTCCCACTCTCCTGTCCGTCCTTCTGTCAATCTACCCACCCATCCATCCATCCTTTCATCCACCTATTTTCCACTCTCCTGTCTGTCCTTCTGTCCATCCATCCACGCACCCACCCATCACCTACTCAGCCTCTACCCACTCCCCCAACCATCCATCCATCCATTTTCCCATCTATCCATTCATCCCAGGGGCAGAGTTTTCCCTGTACAGGGTCAGATAGCAAATATTTTATCTTCTCAAGCCATGTGATCTCTGTTACAGTCACTCAACCTCATTGTTATGGGACTTATGTAAACGAATGGGTGTGGCCATCTTCCAATGCATGTTTATTTACAAGAACAAGCACTGAGCCAAACTTGGCTCTTGGGACAGTTTGCCGACTCCATCCATCCATCTGTTAAGAAAGCATTCGTGGGTTTTACTTAACGTAGGGCCCTTTACTAGGTGCAGGGGCAAGGATGGCGAAAGGGACAGACCCGGTGCCCCACCCCCTGGAGCTCACGTTCCAGCGGGTTGAAAAAGTTAAACAAGACGCCTGATACATACTCAGGTGTAATGAGTGCCGTGAAGGAATGACACAGGGAGAGGGGACGGGGGACTGTGGGGGCCTCGCTGACAAGTACAAGTTCTGCAGAGGCAACAGACAGTGCAAAGGCCCTGTGACGGGACATGCTTCGGGTATTGGAGGAACATAGAGCAGCCTTTATAGAGAGCAAGGACGTGAGGTTAAGAAGGTAATGCTGACTCGTGGACCATATCAAGGCAACCCCCTTTTTTTCTCGGTACAGCGGGAAGACAGGATAATGTCTGATTTGCATTTTCAAGGTTAGTCTGGCTACAGTGTGGAGCAGGGACCATGGGCTGAACTGGAAGAAGGGAGACCCAATAGGCTATTGTGACAGCCCTGGAGGTCTGGAAGAGGCCAGGGCATGGTGGGGAGAGGAAGCTGCTGCCCCATGCCTCCCTGACCGCTGACACCCCCCCATCATTCCAGGCTCTCTCAGTCTCTGGGGAGCACACCCTGGGCCACAGTGGGCTCCTGCTGCATTCCCACTGCCAACTGGGCCTTGCCCCGGACCCAGACCATGGTCTGCGCCTCAACCTGACCGTCCGCGACCACAGCAAGCCTCGGGCACCAGACTTCTCCGGGGAGCTGGAGGTGAGTGGCCAGGTCAGGGCTGTCCGCGCCCCTCCCCCCCCCCTACCAGGATGCCCTCCCTCCTGCTCTGGCCTGCAAGGCCACCACTGCCTGGATGGCCCTGCCACCTAGTGGCCACTTTTAGAACTGCAGGCTGGCAACCTGGTGGGGACCCTCTGGCCTGGCCCAGCCCCAGCCCTGAGACGAGGCAGCGGCTGGACTGTCTGGGTTGGAATCCCAGCCTCGTCATTGCACCTACCCTCCCTCCCGGGGATTCATGGCGTTGAGGATTACACATGTTACTGCGTATAGATCATGGGGAGCAGGGCCTGAGAGGGCCCGCCCCAGTAACACATATTCTATGGGTCTTCCTGCCTCCTGGAAGGTAGGAGGGAACAGAGCCGAGCTCCATGCCTGCTCTGTCCCCACTGGCCCAGTGATCTTGGGAAGGGCCCTCGCTGAGCCCTCCCTCCTCATCTGTAAGTGGGGAGCAGGTGTATCTCTCAGGGCAGTTGTAGGGTTCTGGGCACCCCCTTCCTCTGCCCCCTTTGGCACAGGCACACAGTAGGTATCCCATCACTGCTTCTGTCTGCCCACCTCTGTGTCTCCCTGGCCGAGTGCACCTGACTTTGGGGCTTTCCTCCTTCTGACCTCAGTTGTCTCCGCTGTCCAGTGGGCACAAATCCCACCTTCTCAGCAGAGCTGTTTGCACAGTGTCCATGCATAGTAGGTGCTCCTGGGGTGGTTGTTTCCTTCCGGCCTCCAGAGCTGGATGGGGATGGCTTTTCTGCCTCTGTTTCCCTGCACTGTAGCATGGTGATTTCAAAAGAGCGTTGCTTTCCAGGGTGGTCCGGGGCTGGCCGCTTCATTTCCCTGACTGCCAGCCCGGCCCCTGGGTGCTCCAGCTTCTGGAATCGCAGTGCCTGCCAGCCTGGGAGTGAGCCCCTGCCCCATGTGGGGGTCCATGCGGTGGAGAGAGGCCTTTCCCATCCTTGTTTGGTCCTCACGACACTGTAAAATTTCATGAGGTTCTCTGGGCTGTACCCCGCCCACCTGGAAACCTTGCGGGTGGATTTTTCTGGAACATTGTAGGGAGCCCCCTGAATCAGAACCCTAGGGCTGCTGAACAGAGGACTGCCTTCTGCAGTTGGCAGGGGTAGCGAACCTTGTAGTGAAGTACGTAGGTGTCCGCGTGCTCTGGGAGATGTGGGGCAGGGGGTGGGTGCTGCCTTTCCTCTCCCTGGACCTGCGGCCAGCAAGAGCGGGGGGCCAGGCCTCACTTTGCTCTCTGTCCTCCTGCTCGCAGATCCTCAGCCCCAAGGCTCAGCAGCTCAGCCTGCGGGGCCGGCTGTCCACCTCGGCTTCTCAGGGCAGCATCCAGCTGGAGGGAATCCTGGACAACGGGGACAAGAAAGTGAGGCTGTCGGTGTCCCGGGCCCAGAGCTGCCTCCAGGCCACTGGGGCCCATGAGGAAGGTGAGTAGAGAGAGACAGCGGGGATTGCTCAGATGACTGGGGCGCGGCCCAGCTGGACCTCAGGACAGAGATTGGGGTGTTGAGAGTTGAGTGAGGGAGCCCCGTTAGGACTTCATGGCACCCCCAGCTCGGAGGAGATGGTGAGCTCCCTGCGGCCACCTGCATGGGCTTGTGATGCCTGGAGAGGCTGGCAGAGGCTCTAGATGGGCAGAGCGGAGGTGGGTGTGGGCTGCAAGGAGGACCCCAGGCCTCAGCAGGGCTGGGAAGCTGATTTGAGGGGTGTGCTTCCAGACCCGCCAACATTAGGGCCCGGGGGTGACGGGAAGCTCTTCGTGGAGAGGAGGTGGTGTGCACAGTTGGGCGGCAGCCAGCCGAGCCCTGGGGGCAACAGCAGGACCCTTCCTGGCCCCAGGGCGCCGAGAGGAGAGCGTGCTGCTGCGGGCATGTGCCCACGGGCGGACGGCTGAGGCGGAGGCCCTGCTCCTGGACGGTGGGCGGCCCGTGCAGCCCCTGGGACGCCTGAGCCTGCAGGCTGCCCCCCAGGTTCTCCACCTGGCAGCGCACGGCTGCCCCGGAGCCCTGCTGGGCCGCGTGGAGGTGAGACGCCCGGGGCTGGGGGGCGCTGTTCTCCCTGGGACAGAGGCCCGGGCACCAGGGCTGCTAGCCCTTGGGGTCCAACAGGGCCCAGAGAACCAGAGGCAGCTCTGTGGCCTGCAAACACATCCTGGGGCCCTAGGGCCGGCACCAAGAAACTGTCGGCCCCTCCAATCCTGTGAAGCACCCCCCCCAACCCCGGTGCCCCCAGCCTGTCCCTCTCTGTCCACAGTCCAGGATCGCAGCCATTGGGGCCCAGGTGGGAGCCCGGCTGGAGAGGGAGATCCGAGGCCTGGATGCCTACGTGGAGAGGTTCTGGCACCTGGTGGGTGGACCGCACTGCGGGGCCGGGGACACACTGGAGAAGGGGAGGTGCTGTGGGGAGACGCCCTCCACTCACCAGGCAGGGTGCCCCAGATCCTCCCACCGATCCTGCCTCGATTTCCCTGCCCAGGTGCGGCCGGCGGGCCCCCCGGATAGCGCGGTGGGCCCCCTCCTGCGGTTGTCCCATGCAGGCCTGGGGGCCGTGGCGGCGAGTGGCTGGGCAGTGGCCACGGCGTGGGGCCAGAGCCAGGCCCGGCAGGCGCTGACACACCACTTGCCCCTCTACCTGGACAGGCTGCAGGTGGGGCTGGAGCAGCTGCGGAACGAGCTGGAACGTGAGCGCGCGAGCGACGGCCTCACCGGGAGCCCCCCCCCCCCCCCGCCTGCAGGGCCTCCAGGGCCTTGCGGCCTTCCTGTTCCGTCCACTCCCTCTGCTCCTGGAGGTCCCCAAGCTCATCTTCCTCATGCCCACTGCCTTAGTTTTTTGGGGACTGGGATTTTTTTTCCTAGTTCCTGCCTGATTTCTTTTGGGTTTCAGCGTGCTTGCTGTTGGGCCCAGTGCTGGGAGACTCCACAGCCCATTTCTGGCTCTGGGATTAGCACCCGCGTGGCTGTGTGGTTCGGGCTCCTGTTGTGGTTACTAAGTAGCCGCTGCCCCAAGCGTCCTCTGAGTGATGCTGGGAACCTCCGGCCTCCCCACGGGAGCACCAGGGCCGCCTGCTGGTCCTCCTCTCCCACCCGCTTGTATATCTGGGTCAGAATCCCCACAGCCTCCCCCAGCTCCCGTGGCTCGCTAGGGCTCAGTTCTCAGAATATCTGCATGCTTGCGGCTAGGATTTGTTACAGCGAAAGCCCACAGAGCAAGATCAGCAAAGGGAAGGGGTACAGGGGCCAAGGCCTGAGCAAGGGAGAGAAAGTAGGTCCAAGCTTCCAGAATCTTCTCTAGGGAAGGTCACCCAGGACACCCTCAATTTCCCCAGCGCCCCATGGTGACGACAGGTGTTCACCACTGGTCTGCCGGAGAAGACCCTGCACCAAGGGTTTTCTTGGGGGCTGGGCACATAGGAAGCCTCCCCTGGTGCACCCCACCATTCTGGACTCGCAGGGAAAGGTCACAAGCCACTTGTCCCTACAAACGGGTGGTCCAGGGGGCTGGTCTCCCTGCTGGGGTCTGGGATCGTGGCATCGTGCCTGCCACCTGGACTCCGGAGGTGGGGGCATGGGGAGGGGGCTCACGGTGGGTGTTGGCCCCCCCCGTTGCAGGGCCCCTGGCCACGCTGAAGGACGCCTACCTGGAGGTGGCGCCGCAGCCCCTGGATGAGGTGTGGCGAGAGCGGCTGGAGGGGGCCGTGCGGCTGTGGCAGGCCCTGGCACCCAGGCCCATCGGGGCAGCCTTAGAGCTGGTGAGGCGGGGTGAGGGGGTGGGATGTGGGCCTGCCAGCTGGGGCCAACCCTGATGGCTCCCCCTGCCCCCGCAGGCCGCCCACCAGATGCTGTCTTGGGCCGAAGCCACTTTGTCACAGGCCTTGAGGAGGCTCTGTCGGCCCGTGCTGGCCCTGTACCGCTTCTCAGCCAGGTACCACGGGGACTGTCCTACCTGCCTCCTGCCCCAGGCCGGCCCCGGGCTGGCAAGGGGTCACCACTGGGTGCTGATGCTAAGGAAGGGCTGTGCCAGGCAGGGAGGCCTCGGAGCCACTTCTGGCCTCCTGGGGGATCCCCGCTGGCCCTCTGCACCCGCCTCCACCCACGGTCGAGGGCGGCCACTATTCCCCATCCCCCTCCAACCCGAACAGGTGCTGAGACCTCTCGGCTCCCTCACACCCCACAAGGTCGACCTCAGCCCCCGTTTTCCACCGAGTTTCAGGGTCCTCCCTCGATGGAGGACCTCCCAAGGTCCCCTTTGGCTCTGACCTCCCCTTTCTCCCATGCTTTTGCTGCCCTCATCCACCCAGACGGGCGCCTGCCCACCCTCAGGGTTCCCCCAGACGTGGCCCCGCGGACCCGCAGCCCTGGGGGGGGGGCAGCACGCATGTTCCCACGCCCAGCAGGAGCTCAGACACCTGTGTCCTCCCGGGAAGCCGCCGTGTCTGCCCCGAGCCCGGACCCTCCAGTGCTGCTTGCTCATTCCTGAAGCACAGACGGCTCGGGCCGGGGTCTCTAGCTCCTCCGTGCTCCCCCCAGGGACTGTTCGGTGCTGGTGACCCTGCCGCTGCTGCCCGCGGTGGACGAGCCCCTGGCCGTGGCCCGGGTGACCAGCTACGTGGTGGAGAAGCTGCTGCGGCCGCTCCGAGAGCTGTCCAGGACCAACGTGCTAGCTGAGTACTACGGGCTCCGGCGCCGCTGGCTGGAGAGCCCCCACGAATGTGAGTCTCGGGCCCCCCTCCTCCCCGGGGAAGCCCTGGGCCCTGTGCGGCATGGCAGCGGGATGTGGCAGGGGCAGGCAGAGAGAGAGGGGGCTGGTCCTGGGTGGCCTCTGGAGCCTGAGCCCAGTTCCACAGGGCCCAGAGCTCCCTGGACTGCCCAAGGTCATCCTGGATGAGGGCTGGGCTGCAGCTCCGGGCTTCCGGCCAGAGTAGGAAAGCCTGAGCTGGAGGCCCAAGCCCGAAGTGGGCCAAGCAGCTTAGGGCTCGAGGCCAGCTCCCTCCCCACGGACAGAGCTGGAGCCACAAAGGCAGACCTCCAGTTGGAGCCGGAAGGTGGCTAATTGAGTCCAGACTCCGGGTCAGGCAGGGCCTGCTGCCACGGGCTGGGCCTGGACCGGATGTGGCTCCAGGGGCCTGGGGCCCCGAGGGAGTTTGCGTCCAGCTCGTGCCCGAGTGGGGTCTGGGCGCGTCTTCCCCTCTCTCTGGGCCTTGGTTTCCCCTTTGTCCAGGGGAGGTGGCAACACAGCTCACCCCTCTGGATCACAGACACGTGTGGTTTGTGAGCTGAGCTCCTTGATGCTGGGGGAGGTCTCAAGTCCATGGGCAGGCATGGCCCTCAGGGCCTGGTAGGGCTGGGGGGTCAGCGTGGTTCTCCTCAGCGTCCATGTGAGAATGCTGAGGCTCGGGGCACGCAGACCCCGTCTTAGAGTCAGGGGCTACGGTGTCTGTTAGGCAGCACAGTGAGCTCAGACCAGCTGGTCTTGGGGTTCCTTACATGTGTCACCGTCAGCTCTGATGGCTGGTGAAGGGGTGTTCAGGACCCTCTTTGTGCAGCTGGGTGGGCCTGCAGCTCCCTGGCCTGGGACTGTGTCCACTAATGCAGCCCCCAAGTCCCCAGCTCCGCCCATCCAGACGCCACCCCTCGTCACTGCTCAGCAGGGGAACCGGCCCAGTGGGTCACGCTGGCCCCTTGCCAGACCATCTTCTGCCCACCTTAAAGAGGACAGAGCTAGGCCCCCTTACATTGGTACCTTCTTTACACTGGATGGAGTCTTTGGCCATAGTTTTGTGCACTTTTTTTTTTTTTTTTACAGTGGTTGTTTTTCAACTGCTTCACTGACACATAATTCACACACAACGCCATTTATTTCAAACATATAGTTCGGCGGCCTGGGTATATTCACAGAGATACACACCCCCTCCTCCTCCCATAAATTGTAGAGCATTTTCATTACCTCACAAGCATCCTCCGTTCCTTAGCCGTCACCTTGGGCTCCATGGATTTGTCTGTTCTGAATAAATGAAATCATGTATCAGCCCCTTCTTTCTTTTTACTATTGACGTGGCTGGAGCTGGTTCAGCTCGGGGTGCTGGGCTGAGAGGTGGGTGGGGAGAAGACCTGGGGATAGACGCCCCTTCTCCCCAGGGGGGCGTCTAAGAGGACACTGGCCTGAGCAGCCCCGGACACCCTGGGGTTCCCCTGGGTGCAGGGCCCCCAGGCCAGTGGGCAGAGCTGACCCGTCTTACCTGTCCTGGGCTTGCTTCTTCCCAGACCACGCTGTGGTGGCCGGAGCCAGGCACGTGGTGACCTTCGATGGCCAGGTGTGGAGCCTGGGTGTGCGCTGTGGCCGTCTGCTGCTGGCCAAGGACTTTGCCCGCAACACGTTCTCGCTGACGCTGAGCCGGGCCCCCTCGGGGCTCCTGTCCTTGTGTGTGGAGTTGAACCGCACCACCCTGGTCGTCTACCCGAGCCTGCAGGTGAGCGCGCGAGCGTGTGAGGGGCAGCTGGCCCAGGCCAACGACACGTTCCTGCCTCCCGTCCCATCCACACACCTGACCCTTCCCCCTGGCACCCCACATCGCCCACCACCTGTCTGCTCTGCCCCGTCCGGCCCCCAGACCTACAGGCTCCACGACTCCTCCCGGCCGACACAGAGCTGTCCACACGTGGATCCACCTCCTGCCAAGTCAAGGACGGACGTCCCCCGGATTGAGCTGAGCAGTGAGGACGGCGTCTCTGTAGCCTGTGACGTCCGAGCTGGCCTCTGCAGCCTGACTCTCGGCCTCCAGCTCCACGGTGGGTCTGGGCCCCGGGGGGGGGCAGCCTCCGAGCCGGTGCTGCTGGCCGTGATGAGGCCACAGTCAGCTTCCAGGGCTGAGGCCAGCAGAGCCCTGGCGAGGAGTGCTCTTGAGGGGTGGTGGGTGGGACACCCACGGACTCCCTGCAGCTGCTCCTTAGGGCTTATGACCTAAGCAGGCAGGAGAAGTCTGAAGGACTCAGATGGGAAGGGGGTCCCAGAGCAGCTCTCCCTGCTGGATCATGCCAGTGTGGGCACCGTCCCCACTGCAGAAGGACAGATAACTGTTCGGCTCTGTGTCCACTGGCCTTGACCCTGCCTCTCTAATCCCACGAGTGCCTCCTCCTCTTCTCCCGGCTGTGGGCTGTAGTAGGTGTGACCTGACTGAGGTCAATGTACTGGCCCCCGTTCCCACGGCCAGGAAAGGAGCCCAGTGCTCCCTGGCCCCATGTTCCGCCCCTTTTCGGGAACGTTCCCCTCCGGGTTGAGGGCAGCTCCCGCTTGCTCCCCTCAGTCTAGTTAGACAGTTTTCCTGCTGGCCCAGGCCACTCGGGATGAAGATGGCGGGCAGGAGGAAGGTCCAGATGGGGCACAGACACTTTCCTCCCTTCCTTGCCTTTCTCTCTTTTCTCCTCTCCCTCTGAGGGAGAGTCAGAGCCCCGGTGGTGGGGGGGGGCATCAGGGGTGGAGAGCTGGGGCAACCCTGGAACCTGGGACAGGACAGACTCCCCCATGGCCCCCTTCCCCCACAGGGGTGTCTGCTGGCCTTCTGGGCACCAATGACAACGAGGCGGCCAATGAGCGGACACTGCCGGATGGCACAGTGGCCCACAGCCTGGAGGAGCTCGCCCTAGCCTGGCAGGTGAGCTGGTGCACCAGCCCCTCCCCCTGCCGGCTCGTCCATCCCGGGGGCACTGAGGGTAGAGAGTGGCTGGGGGCAGGCAGACTCTGGAGACAATGTCCCAGGCCGAGAGGGGTGGTCATTGCCTCTGAAGACTCATGCACCTGCTCTAGCTGCCCAAGAAGATGGAGGTCCAGGCGGAAGGCCTGAGTCTGGGCTTTGCCTCTCCAGGTGGGTGGAGACTGCAAGGCCATGGAAAAAACTCAGGAGTGCCCCGGCCGGAGCCCCACCTGCTGGGCCTTCTTCCAGGACCCCCGTTCCTGCCTGGGGAACTGCTTCAGGGTGGTGAGTTTCAGGCTGGTCTGGACCCCAGCAGAAACCATGCAGCAGGTAGACCAGGAGACCAAAAGTGGCCCCGATCTTGCCTTCGCCCCTCCCCTGGGCTACTCCCAAGGGTGCAGGGGGCAAGGACCGTGACTCTGGGCGATGGATTTCAGGTGGACCCCGTGCCATTCCTGAGCCTGTGCGTCCAGGACGCCTGTGGCCCTCAGGAGCTCCACCTGGCCTGTAACCTGGCGGCTGCCTACGTCCACTTGTGTGCCCGGGCCTTCGTGCCCCTGGACCCTCCTCCACAGTGCGGTAAGCCGCCCCAGCCCTCCGTGCAGCCGACCCCTGCCTTCCGTCCTGGAGGGAAAACTAGTTACTGTCGCTTAGTTCATGGCATGACAACGGAGTGCCTGTCCGCCAGGCAGGCGCTGAGAGTTAAGACAAAGTGTTGTGCAAAGGAGCACTTACTGAGAAGGAGATGCCCCAAGACTGCCCTGCCCAAGCCAAGTCCAGTGAGTCCCGGGAGCTGACAGAGGAGACAGTAGCATAGACAACGATAAACTCACCTCCCCGAACCACAAACCACAGATCTGCCACTCAGGGGTTTGAATGTTCAGTCTCTCCGAGGTCTGGAAAGCCCTGCGGCAGCCGCTGGGCAAGATTCCGATTCCCACAGCTAAAGCCCCACGGCTCGGGGATGGAAGTCAGCATGTGCACCGCAGAGCAGGAGTAGGGCCCCTGGTAAAGGAGACATGATTCATGATGCTCAGAAGAGAAGCGTCAGGCAGGCTGTATTCAGGGGGACTGTCGGAGAGGGACAGGAACCACTGCAAGGGGGTCTGACCATAGAGGAGAGAGAGATCAGACTCTGGCTACAACAGGGAAAAGTGGGGACTGAGAGAGTCAAGGAGCAGGGCCCGGGTGGGGGTGGTCTGTGGATGCAAAATTACCAAGAGGAACCATCGGGGACGGCGAAGTTCTGCGAACCCACCCTGCCGGGAACTTGCTAGAGGCAGCCCTGGCTGATCGGAGGACCCCTGTCGGATGGCAAGGGGACCCGTCATCCTGGCTTAAATGACCTAGCAGAATGCTTGCTAGACCTGGCCCAGGGAGAGACAGAACCCCCAAAGGAGGCCTCACGGAGATTTCCACAGAGCCCAAGTAGAGTCTAGTCAGACGACTCTTACCCATGCCGTAAGACCTTCAGATGCTAGAATTTGAAACTCTTAAATACATAGGTTAACTGAAATTTAAAACTTAACCCTCTGAGCCACCCAGGCACCCCAAATCTGTTAAGTGTCTGACTCCTGATTTTAGTTCAGGTCATGATCTCAGGGTCATGGGGTCAGGCCCCAGGTCTGGCTCTGCGCTAAGCGTGGAGCCTGCTTAACATTCTCTCCCTCCCTCCCACCAGCTCACACACCCTCTTTCTAAAAATAAGAAAAAAAAAAAAAAAGATCTGAGCAAAGAAAAAAATTAATGAACAAGAAAATATAAAAAAGAGTCTCATAGAAAGTTCAGGAGGAGAAAATAAAGAGGTTTGAGAGCTGGAACTCCCTGGATTCCAGAAGCACAAGGTATCCCAGATACTGTCCATCCCACCCCTTATTAAGACACATCAGCATGGATCTTTGAAGGAACAAGTAGACGACCAGCGTCCCACCGGCAAGGACCAAACGTGGTAGAATATACACCTTTAAAGGGGACAACTGCCTCCTTAGATTTGAAACCCAGCTCAACTCTGACCCGAGTTATCTGCAAATGTCCTCCCCGCTGATGGACACTCCCGCACCATCCGTGGCTGCCTCCGTGTTGGAACAGCAGAGCGCTGGCAACGACTGTGAAGTCTGAAGTATCTACTGTCCGTTAGGGAAAGTGTTGGCTGGTCCTCCGTGTGAACCAGGGGAAGCAGGAGGGAGAAATTAATGGAACAAACTAGAAGTCAAAACTACAGATCAGCAGCGATTTTGAAAAGCCGCTCGCCAACTTCGCTGATCAATTTCCAGACGTAGGTTAAAATACGGTGGTTGGATAAAGAATGTTTAACCTCCAGAGTCTCCTAGCCCTTCAGTCAGCTGAACCTATAGGCTAAAATATTCCTCTCAAAATCATCAGGGAAACCTGAGGGAAGAGGACACCAAAAAATAGATTTCATCAAGGTTAAAATTATTCTGTGAAAGACCTTCTTTAAGACTGTGGAAAGACAAAGAAAATACAAGGCATATATCTGACACAAGACTCCTATCTTATATGTCAACTCAAATGTAACAGTTAAGAAACCAAAAAACAGAATGGAAAATGGGCAAAACCCCTGGAGACGTTTCACCTAAGAGGACATATGAGTGGCACACACAAAAAATGAGGAACAGTTCCAGCCCTCAGGGACATGAGACCACTACATACCGACTAGGACCGTTTTAAAAAAAGAATAACACCAAATACTGGCAAAAACATGGAGAAGCTGGTTCTTGTGTGTATTGCTGGTAGGAGAATGGGAAACGGTATAGTCACTCTGGAAAAAGGCTAAGCATGTGCTGACCACTTGTTCCAGCAACTGCATTCCTAGACCTTCGCCCCAGAGAAATTAAGAAACATGCTTCCGGCAAAAGCCTGTATGTGAGTATCCAAACACAGTATTTTAATAGCCCAGAACTTAAAACAACCAGAAGAGCCTACTTTCGGTACGTCCCTCTTCCCTGGGATCCTGCTCAGCAATGAAAAGGAGCATCCTCTTTTTTTTTTTTTTTTTTAATTTGACAGCATGCACAAGCAGGCAGAGAGAGAGAGGGAGGAGGAGGCTCCTCGTGGAGCAGGGAGCCTGATGTGGGGCTCGATCCCAGGACCCGGAGATCGTGACCTGAGCCAAAGGCAGATGCGCAACGACTGAGCCACCCAGGCGCCCCAGAAAGGAACACACTCCTGATACGGGCAACAACTCAGATGACTCTTGAAAAAGAAAGCCAGACTCAGAAGGTCACATGTTATCAGATTTTGTTTTTATAACATCCTGAAAATGACCGGTTGTAAAGATGGAGAGTAAGTTAGTGGCTGCTGGGGGTCAGGGTGGTGGGGGAAGGAGCGGTCATGGCCACCACCCTGCGGTGGCACAAGGGAGATGTGTGTGCTGGTAGAAAGAATTCCGGCTTCTGATGGTAGAAGTAGTAACACGAGTCCACGCCTGGGATGAGAGGTCAGAACGACATAGATGCATTTCTACCAACGTCCGTTGCTGGGTTTTGATATGGTACTAATAAAAATGGAAGATGTGACCATGGGGAGGAACTGAGAGATACACAGGCCCGCTCTGTACTTCCTACCGTTGAACTTTCTGTAAATCTATCATTATTTCAAAACAAGAAGTTGTAACTGTGACACACTAGGGCCAGATTGCAACAGGCAAGTCGTAATCATTGCCCATCCCTGTTCCAGAAGAGAAAAAGAAAACCTTTCTCTTCGCATTTTGATGAAGTAGGATGATATGAACATCCCACAAGAACAATAAAGGAAGAAGCCCAACAGTGCCCTCGGGTACGGAGGTCACGGACACAGCAATGAGCCAAACCCAACAATCTGTGGGATCCGAGGGACATACTGACGAAGGGAGATCGTGCAGAAGGCTTCCGGCAGGCTAGCTAATAATGCGTTGGAAATACCTCGATCAAAATCCAGAGGAGGGCAAGTGACATTGGCAAGATGGCAGGCCTAGAAGCCCAGACCCTCGCTCCTTCTTGGAAATACCCAATGCATAATAAAATGGACCACAGTACTCTGTGACAACTCGAAAAGCAGCAGCAGCAGCCTCCAAATGGGCACCCAACCAGGAAAAGGCTGAGGACAAGACAGTAGGGAGCCCTGGGGTGGTCTCTGCTTGCCTGTTCCAGTACGGTTTCAAGTAAGCCAGCCCGTCCCGGACTCCGTCCTCGGGGTGGAAGGAAAAGTGGGGAACTTGGCTTTTGATGTTTGGACGTACCTGGGGGCTGCCAGAGGGCTCGGGGTGCTGGAGAGAATGGTGGCAGAGTCTGGACGTCGGGATTGAAGTTGCTGAAAGCGGTTATGGGTACCCGTCTGCGCCGGAGGGGGCTTCAAGGAGTCTGCAGACCCCCAGGGGGCTCGGGGCGAGATGACGGCTAGAGGAGTGCAGTGCTGTATCCAAACCCATAAGCAGCAGGGGTGAGGCTCCGAGGGAAATTAAGATATATAAAAGCAACTGGGTGTTCTGGGGGTGTGGAATTAAAGCATACACACAGGCCCAGGGGAGACACAGCCGTTGCAAGAACCCTGTGCCTTTCCCCCGGGCTGATCCGTGAAGATCTTCCCCTGGGCGGGGACAGTCTGCAAAGACTAGGAGAGGTGGCGGTTTTTTTTTTTAAATGCCGTTTTCAACCAAAGATGACCAGACCTACAAAGCAACCAGGAAGGAGGGCCCATTCAAAGGAGTACAGAAAACCTCCAGAAACCAACATCCAGGGTACAGAGGCCTCTCGGACCTTCATGGCAGACACTTTAAAACCACCCTCCAAAATACCCTCCATCACCTGAAGGAGAAGGCAGGCAGACGACTAAATGCTGCGAAGAAAACCAAGTACAAGCAGGAGAATTTCAACAAAGAGAAACTGTAATAACCAAATTCTGGAGGTGAAAAGTCCAGTAACTGATTTCATGCTGACTGCGGAAGACTGGCTTTTGATCTGAGGACACACACAGGTTGAAAGCCGAAGGATGGAAAGAGATCTTCTCTACAAAGAGTAACCAGGAGAGAGCAGGGGGAGCTGTGCCGATATCGGAAAAATCAGATTTAAGGAAAAAAAAAAAAAAACTGTTACAAGGGACAGGAAAGGACATTATGTGACAGTAAAGGGGTCAGTTCTCCAAGAACAACAATTTTAAGTATAAATGCATCAGGTATCCGAGCTTCTCAGTATCAGAAGCAAAGAGGGACAGAATCGAAGGGGGAAAAAGCGTTCTCCACTGAGGGCACCTGGGGGGCACAGTCGGTTAAGCCTCTGCCTTTGGTTCAAGTCACGATCTCAGGGTCCTGGGATGGAGCCCCGCATCGGGCTCTCTGCTCAGTGGGGAGTCTACTTCTCCTGTCTCTCTCCCCCAATCATGTTCTCTCTCTCAAATAACTAAAATCTTAAAAAAAAAAAAAAATAGTTCCACATTGAGACCTTCAGCCCTCCCAACCCCCCCACCCACTTTCAACCATGGATGGAACCAGAAAGATGATCACGAAATGAATGGCGAATTTGAGCAGCATGGCAGATCAACTGGACCTAAAAACACGCACAGCACTCCACCCAACAGCCACAGAA